GGCCTAGACCCTTCTTCAGAAGAAGGGTCTAGGCCCGAAACATCAGCCTTCCTGCTCCTCTGATGCTGCTTGGCCTGCTGTGTTCATCCAGCTCTACACCTTGTTATCTCAGCTAATTCTTCTGTCTGGAGTACATGATGTCAAGGTGCCGGTCTTGGACTGGGGTGGACAAAGTCAAAAGTCATACGGCATCAGGTTTATAGTCCAACAAATTTGAGATCGCAAGCTTTTGGGGAGCACAGCCCCTTCAATCACGTGTAGTGAGAGAGCACAGCACACAGACCCAGAGTTTATAGGCAGAGAGATCAAAAGATCATACAAGTGGTGAGACTGGACTGTCAGATGATAAGTCTCTGCAGGTGACCAAGAGTGTTAGACAGTGAGTAAAGTGTCAACAGCTGAATAACCAGTGAAGAAGGGATGATCTTTAATCCAATTAAGTGAGGCAGAGAAATAATTACAAAAAGTTAAAAATAAGAGGGTAGTGCTGGAGACAAACTAAATGACTGGAATTGCATGCCAAATTCAAAACTGTTCAAACTAAGGTACAGAGATCATAATTTATCAAAGGTGATGCTGTCAAGACAGGACAGAAAGAAAGATTTTACAGATACAGAACAGTATGTAGCACAACATGAACCAAAGATTTTGACTGAGGCCATTTTTCATGAGTATGGAACTCGGCTATCAGTCTTTGCTCGGCAATTCTGCATTGTGTATTTTGAAGTCTCCGATCTTTGGGTAAGTGTCCAAGGTGCCAAGTTAGCCAAGTTCCGTACCCATGAAGACGGCCTCAACTGTGATCTTGGTTTCACTTTGCGCTACAGGTGACCCCACAACTGTTCTGTATCTGTAAAATCTTCTTTACTGTCCAGTTTTGATAGCATCGCCTTTATAATTTGTTATGATCTCTCTACCTTAATTAGTTTGTACAGTTTTGAATTTGGCATGCGGTTCCAGGTCATTTAGTTTGTCTCCAGCACTACCTTTAGTTTTAACTTTTTAAAATTATTTCTCTACCTCACTTAAATTGGATGGAAAGTCATCCCTTCTTCGCTGGTTATTCAGCTGTTGACACTTTACTCACTGTCTAACACTCTTGGTCACCTGCAGAGACTTATCATCTGACAGCCCACTCACACCAGTTGTATGATCTTTTGATCTCTCTGCCTATAAACTCTGGGTCTGTGTGCTGTGCTCCCTCACTACAACTGACGAAGGGGCTGTACTCCGAAAGCTTGAGAGATTTCAAATAAACCTGTTGGGCTATAACCTGGTGTTGTGTGACTTCTGACTTTGTCTGGAGTACAAGTATACCCACCTTGCACAGAAGCACAATTAACACCTCTCCTGCACATCCCCCACCCATAAGTTTCCAAAGAGCTCTTTCTAATTGTACCCTATGTTAGGCCAAACCAGAGATGCAGGTAAATCTAACAGGTACATCTTCAATTCTTATATTTAAAGCCTCAGCAATGACCCAAGACAAGATTCAATTGCAGAAGGTCTCTCTTTCTTTCATGTATACATAACTATAGGTATAGCTGACCCGTTCATCCTGAATCTACTAATCCTCAATACTTCAACTCACCATATGAAATAAAATTTGCCAGATCCAGAAGCAGTCTACCAAATTTTCAAATGCTCGAGTGCTACAAGGAAATCAATACTAATTCTCTCCCTCCCCTAAACAAAGCAATGGCATTAAAAGACATCTAAAAACTGAAGGCAGCCAACAAACTCAGAGTTGGGGTGCAAGATTTTGGAAAGCAAAGAACTCTTGATTTTAAACCTCTCCTCAAAAGAAAAACATCTTGTATGACAAGACAGCTAGGTTCTACGATCAATCCTCAGTTTAAAAGAGATTCTTCCTTCTATCAGAGATTGCTGCCAGGAATAATACAACTATTTCAATAGAAATATACAGACATTGTAACTTGTAACAAATCAGAAAATGCTGGAAAAACAGCCTCGTTCCCTGTAAGAGCTGATAGAAAAGTGAAATTTTCATTACCTTCAATCTACAGATTTGGAAGTTAATCACAGAAGGGTGTGGGCAAATATAAATTAAGTTATCTGGAGTGTGAAGTACGAGATCTCATACCCTAACCATGATGTCCCAACTGCTAGAGAATACATTTACCACCAAATCTGCAGCATTCCTTTTTGTATATGGAGGTGATATCCAATATACACATACGTTTGCACTAAAGTAATCCAACCCGTTTTTATTATGTGTATGCTGCCTGCCATTCCAACAGCAGCACTAGCACAGGTAGTGCAGGTTGCTCAATCTGCTGCCATTGCAGTTTCAACTCAAAGCTCAAATCACAACAAAAACGACAGCATATAGGTAGAACTGAGAAATCAAACCATTGGATACAGAAAGACAAATGATGTAAGACTGTTAGTTGTTCACTCTTTAATGCAAGAGTCATCAAGCAAAAAGCAATAATATGTTGGTTTGGATCAAGAGCTGGCCTGCACATGGTTGCTCTTGGCATTGTCAAGAAACAGATCAGCAGTGCAATTTTCAGCTACTCCGAAAACAGCACCAGTTCAAACAGGGTCGTGCTTCTGGCTTTGTGGAGATGCTGCAAAATGGCCAAAATGAAAATAAAAGGCACACAAAAGCAAGTCAGACAGGTGCCAAAAAACAACTCAAAATGTTCAGATACCTGCTCCTTTCCTACAGCTACTCAGTTCATTCCAGCCCTGAGAAACACTTTCTCCATGAGATGAACCTGGAAGCTTTTCAATCACTGAAGGTTTCAAAGGAGTTGGGGAAAAACATTTTGCATGCAGTCTATCCGTACTTAAAAGTAACTTAAAAAAAATCCTTAAATGAAAAAATGTCTTACTTATCAAAAACATTTATAATATTTATTACGTTTATAGCTGATATTTGTCACTTTTGAAACTTTCAATTAACAGTGTCCATTAACCCAAGATCTTCAAGAGATCAGATAGGGGTTGGCACGTTAGGTGAGGGGGCTAGGGATATCAGAGGACGAAAAGACAAGAGATAAACCAGGTAATGGATAACTCCTATCAGCCATCTGCTCCCAACACACTGGACACGTCTGTATTAAAAGATATGTTAGTAGTTACTTGCAGCACTCCGACAAACTGATGAGAAAATTTATGAACTATGGAGTCTAATCGCAGGACCAAAACAGCATTTATTTTCCCCCTCCCTTTTTGTTATATAAAACTTTACAAGTCTGGTATCAAATAATTTGTATGTTGTCGTTCCCAATGGCAAAAACAAAACAGACGCGCGCACGCACGCACACACGCATACACACCCGCCACCCCCCACCCCACCCCACCCTCAAGCTGAACTAAATCCATGGACAATGAATTTGGACAATTCATAGAGATTGGGTTTTTTTGGAGGGAACTGAATCTGGATTTGGTTTTTAATCCTTTCAAAAGTGTCAGTTCAAAAAGTCGGAGGCAGTATCATGAACTCTTAGCTCCCATAGTGCATTGTGTTGGTGCTTATGGACATTGGAGAAGCCATGGAGATGGCAGCGCCGCCCATGGTAAACTGACTGTTGATTGGATAGTAGCTGCTACTGGCAATCACTCCACCCTGTCCACCGCTTGAAGACCCTAACAAAACAGAACAGAAAAAAAAAAAGACAGTCATCAATACAATTACACAGGTTAAAAAAAATCTTTACATTATAAATGGCCACTCAAACCTTCCTTGTACTAACGCCCAAACCCAAATTTCAAATCAAATCCTCTCACATATGCTCCCGAGTTTCAGAAAGTTAGCTGGATGCTCAAGCAGTAGAGCTGCTGGATTCCCAAGCTGGTGTTTCTCTACAGCACTGTCTGCTGCTTGCTACCCACTCACTTTGGGTGGGCACATAGATGGGTCAACAAGCAACTCAACTAAACAGGTTATCCCATTCAAACCTTTATACGCAGCACTGAAAAAGCAACCAGAGAAGAAGCAAAGTTAGAAAATGCGGCCATTCAGGGGAGCAGATGGAGAAAAGGGGCCAGTTATACACATTTCTTTACACTAACCCCTTCAGATAAATCTAAAATCTTAAAACCAGATGGTGCTATGCTATTAGTTGATATCTGGCATATGAATTTGATCCTACCCACTGAGCACTCTTAAATCCCTCAGTAGCATAAAGCCAAGTTTAGACATTAACAATATGAAGGACCGATGGCATAAATCTAAAAACTTTTTTTGAAAAATATCTTGTTGCCAATTCTCTTTTCTCTTCTCCTGAACAGCTGCCTTTGGCTAAGGTTTGATTCCACAGGAATTAGCTGCCCTGTGTTTCCTTGTCCAAGCACTCATTTTTGACATGCAGGCTGAGACAGTGTGTTTACAGGCTATTTAACCACGGTGCACGTAGAAGGGGAGAAGGAAGCCCCAATAGTGAGCCAATTCTATTCTTATTGGCACTCATTTCCAAATAATTTGTGGGGATGGGCTGGGGAGGGAGGAGGTCCACTTAACAGCGACTAGGAGCAGGAAACTTACTCATTAGCCCTCTCTAACTCCAAAGTCTAGTATTTCTCCTTTCATTAAGCAAAACCCTAAACATTTGAGAAATTCACAAAACACATTCAATTTTTCTTTTTAAAAAAGGGTTTTTGAGCACATTAGTCATAGGAAATAGCAACATTTAGATCTATGACAACTGTAACAGGCCAATGAAAGACTACGAGACAGAAAGTGGGAATGCTCATTAAGTTTAAAAAAACTGAAGTTCAAGATTTGTAATGTTGAAGGTGGTTATTCAGTTGGCAAGGATCTTGACAAGTTCAATTTAACTTAAGGCAGGGTTTGGCTTATGAGATGACAGATGCAATTAGATATCAACAGATCAAACAATACTTCCTATCCACTCGGGTATTCCTTGAATATTTATCCTGTGCAAAGTCCAGAGTTTGAGCAAAGTTTCAGAAACCCAGGAGACAAGAAAAATAAAATCTATTTCTAAACTCTCCACTTTTTCACCCAGGAGCCTTTGTAAGGAGTATTTCTGTTGTAAATGAAGGGACATGCTATGTACAGCATTGATCAAAAATCGGTACAAGTATTTCACAATATGTTTTAGAATTCATAGTTCTCCTGGATTGTGCTATAGTGCAAAAGTAATCATGCAGATTCAAAAGGGTTAAGGCAAGATAGCATCTCTGACCAAGTTCACAAAATGATTTTCTTCCATTTGGGTTAAATTAAATCTTTTAATCCTAATTAAATGTATGAAACAGAAATTGTCCCAAAGTTTATCTCTGAGATGATTCAAGGTAGACAAAAAATAAACTTTAGAGGACCAAAGGGCTTAACTGAGTGTCTAACACAGTTAAAGAAGGTTCTCTTTTTTGAAAAAGTCAAACCACAATGCAGCCTATGCTGGGGTCATAGAGAGAGAGCTGGTGTATATTAATCACCAGGTTTTTTTTTAAATCAAAATACTGCAGCCATTTATGTTAAACGAGCTTCATAAGACAAATTTAAAAATAATTTTTTTCTGACAATGCTACTGAAATCCCTGAAAAGCGCAAAAAGGCTATTATATCTCAATTTGTTTTGCTGGTGCATCCAGTTGCACTGAAGTTGCATGAACATACATACACACAATGTGCCTGTACTAAGTTTTGCTAGTGGTGACGGCAGAGAAGGAGAAAATTTCAGTCCTCTGATTCGGTTCTGTATCATACAACTTAATAGTTTCTATTTGTTCACACCTATCAAAATGCAGAACTCAGCTTTCAAAAAAAAAAAAAAAAAATCTCAAGTGGCCTACAGGATAACTGCATGGTACAGTTTAGTAGGTCATCCTAACCAATTCCTGTTCAGTAAAGTTATGGTGGAGAGAACAAACAAAAACTGCAAAGTGGTCCCAACATTTCAACTAGGGAAGAGGAGGAGTGAAAAGTATGTCTCTTACACACATAATCTAATGTCATTTGGCAGCTTCAAAAGACAAATCTTCCAGCATTTGATTTGTATTTGGTTTCTTTTGAGGGGAGCAAACACAAGATATCTTTGATAGTCAAGTTTGTTTTTGATTTTTAAAAGGAAGCCCCCTACCCACTCCAACCTTGTTTGGCAAGAATGGTACGGCCCTGATAATAAAATGACAAGAAAGGCTACACCTCATTTGATTTTCTGCAGTGCTTTTCTCCCCACCAACAAAGATGACTTTTCTAAGCCAAAAAAAAAAGAGTGTGCATTAAAGACCCTGTGGTGTCATATTTTCAATTATTTTAAAAATACATCCATAATAGAAAGTCACTCAGAGGATCATGTCTTTTGGACACATCCATTCACTATTTCTTGTCGCTGCTGGAAGCCCAAAGCCTTTCAAAAGCGACGCATATACCTACCATGAGCTATAGGAAGACACAGGGCCTTTAAATCAACACTTTTATAGTTACCAGCATGCTATGAACCTTACTGACAGAAATCCGACTCCAGGCACCTGTAGCAGCCTGCTGCCAAGGGAATTCCTACAGGGAAGGGAGTCTGGAAGATGATGAACCATGCGGAGAACAAAACAATCCCATCAACATCATAAACAGCTAGCCTTACAGCCTGGGTTCCAACTCAAGGCCATTCTTCCCCTTCCAGGCGGATCCAAAACAGAGAAAAGACTCAACTGTGTTCATTTTAGTGAAATGATTATTTGTAAACAAATATTTAACAGAAATAACGAAACACACTAGTCCATTGAATGGTAACAGAATTGGCATATTATTAAAGAAAGTATCAACCAATTGAAAGAAAATACATTATAGCATCTGCAATTTGGAGGATCCCCTGGGAGAGTTGGAATGATAGCTGGAACACTGGACAACTGATCTGTATCAGAGGAGAACGAGATACACACTTGCACAGGGAGATCAATTGAAACGTTTTAGAGGTAGAAAGACAAAAGTAAAACTCTGAAACATAGAGTGCCATCAACCTCAACAAAAAAGGATGAGTTAACATCTTGGTCTGATGAATGATCTGCACCAGAAATACCAAATTGACCCATCTTCTTTTCAGGGACTGACAAACCTGCTGTGTCTCTCTGATGTATAGGTTTTATGATAAAATGAAATGAAAACTTCAAAAAAAAAAAACTCACCAACTGCTTTGAGTAAAGGGGACAATGCAACAACCCCCAAGCAATTAGAACAAACTCTCAGGCTTCAGTGTTGTTGCTCAAGCTCTAGGAGTCTGAATGGAAAGAGGAACACTTAGGGTTCCACTAAATAGTTGATCTTCCAATGTCTGCTTCACTGCATGGTTGTACAGATTAACAGCAAACACCAGCTTGTTGCCAGACAAGCTTCAGTAAACACCCACACATCAGGGCATAACAAAAACAGCATTGAGAACATGAGAAGATTACGTCAACATGAACACTGGTCTGGAGACCTCCCTCCCCAGCAGTGTACAGCTGTACAAGCATTCCAGATTGCTACCTTCAATTTCTCAATTAATATAGTTCAACCATTGAACTATTAGAAATAGGCGGCACTGAGAAAGGAAAAAGAAATATAGTATAATATTTGTAGTGTTCCAATAATTCAAATGGACACCAAAACTTGAAGCTGATAGAGTGTACAGTTAAACTCATGCCACAGCTTGCACTGTGCTCAGTCAATGCATTTAACCATTCATTCAACAGAAAGTTCAGTTCTCCCTGTGTGAAGTGCATCTCATCAAGCAGGCCAGCCAACCCTTTATTACATTATCAGTTCCTGGGTGCAGTCTGCCACTCCTAGAAGGAACTGGATTGGCAACAGGTTGCTATGGGTGCCTGGAGCCAAGCAGTTGCGTTTCCATTGGCAAGTTTCATTCGACCGGTCAAGCCTCAGAGAGGGTCAGGGCCATGTCTTTACCCTGTATAAATCCTGTGCTCATAATGGATCCCAGTCTTGAGTGAGTGTGATTCACTATCCCAGTGTTGGCTGTGAAGAGAGGAGGAGAGAGAAACCTTCCAGTAAAATACAACAAAGGGAGGGAAAAGCACCATACAAAAGCATAAAGCTCATTCCTCATTAATGCATCACTAAAGTTCAACAATGCTTGGTGCCAGTGCTGTGTTCTCTAGAATGCCCACAGCAATCAAATCAGTATAACAGATTGTTAACATGCCTAATTCATCAATAAGAGTTATGTTTAGACCAGGATTTCTATCTACTGAGAGGACTGAAATCTCGAATTTGACTGGAGGTAATCTGAACGAGGAACTTCAGGGTTGAAAACTAGGTTGAATCTCAGTTTCAGAGTAGTAGAAGGTACATCTGTATTATAATATATCCCAGTCTATTTAAAGTCATTCCAGCAGAAATCAATTGCAATTTTCAAGTATTGTGTGTAGGGCGGGGGGAGCGGAGAAAAGGGTTCAGATTGTTGAAAATTCAGCACAGTCCAAGAATGTAATAAACCACAGCTTGATTCTCACGTCCAAATTACAAAGCAAAACTTCCACCTCTCCACTTGCTTAAAAAAAAAGGCAATTATTTCTGGTTATAATTTAATAATGGCCAAGTCCCTGCCAGGAATGGAACCAAGTGCTCTTCATTCATCAAAGCCTAGGCAGTAAATTATTGGCTAGGGAGTTGGGAGGGGTGCAGTTTAAAAAAAAAACAAAAAAAACTTTTGCTGATGTCTCCAAGCCAAAGGACTCTCAGGGTCAACTATGGTGTTGTGATTTCAACTGAAATCAACTAACTCAACTCAAACCAGACAACAGTTATCCATAGACAGTAACTGTGACAGCCTATTACTTATTCCCTTTAGAAGGCAAAAGAAACCACAAATTTTGCCGTGGGATATTTTGGTTGAAGCAGTGGTCAATTCAGCTGACATCCCTGCACTTCACCACCAACATATGAATTAGACAATGGGATATCACAATTCTTCTTTCCATAGCATTTACAAATGAAATGCTCAGCCACTGATTAAATGCAATCTAACCTCTGCCAGACAAATCTTGGATGGGGTGTGGGAAAAAGTGGGTAGAAAGGGTAGAAGACATAAACCTACACCAAATTATTTATTTAAAAAAAAAACAAAAATCAGCCTCGAGGTTAGTAGCTAGTCATCATAAACAGAAAGTAACAAAAGAAAGAAGAAAAGAAAAAAGTCAGATTGGTTACAACACACATTAAATGGTTACTGAAAACAGAATTTGTGAATACAGACAATACCATGGTGGTAAAATTTGTTCATTCATTGACAACTGGAGACAGTGACATAATTAGCATGTGCACAGGACATCATAGCAACTATGCTATTACCTATCTACAACTATGTGGAGGTAAGGTACTGAGAATAATGTTATTTTCAAACACAGAAAAAAAGAGGGCCTTTTCAAAACAGTAACTGGGGTTATGTTAACCTTAAGTGCAAACTGAGGTTACAGTGATCCTACAGAGGAGACTTGCACTGACCCTATAACCAGTAGTGTTAGAATGTGACGTATAGGTTTCAATCTTTACAAGTTCAAACAAAATAAAAACTTGCTTCATGTCATATATACTCCCAGAACAAAAAATCTTACTCTCAAAAATAGCGTTTTTTTTGGTTTGATAATAAACCAGAGCCCTATCAAAACACCTGGGAGCTTGCAATAGCTTACTGGTCAAGTATTAATTTGCTGCTGATCCACAACAATGCTGTCAACTCAAACCTGGGCTGCTTTGTTGTGTGTTCATCAGTTTGTTACAGAGATAAGAATTTTAACCAGATTATTTGGAAAGACTATCTGGTCAGTGCTAGATGGAAGAATAAAACAAAAATTCTTCCCAAACTCTCATGTTGAAGACATATGGATGGAGATCATGGCACAGAACCCAACCAAGACTACGGAGCAGAAAAAGACAGCAATAGCTTACACATCAAGCAAATTAGACCATCAGACTATACAAAGGTTGGTAGCACATAAATTCATGATCAACAACTGACTGTATTATCAAGACAGATCAGGGTAGGTCTGTCGCAGGAAATTAAGCTAGTGATCAATAAAACAATATGACAGAGAAAGATTTACCAAAATTTATTCATTTACAAGAGGATACCCATGCAAAGAGAATACAACTACTGAAAAAGGCCATACATGCGGAGGCTCTTTCCTCGGAGGCCTTCAAAACTATGGAACACAGTTTGTCAGTTAGATATACAGGGAAGTACAAACTACAAGATAGTCACTAAATAATCAAATAAAGTATTAAAGGAGAAACTGCTATGTGATGAGAATGACAAACTTGCTACCACATACAATGGTTGATGACAACAAAGACGCACTTAAAGAGAAAGATGTAAAACAGAAAGATATGGAAGGATATTTTGATAGGGTGAGACGAAATAACTACACTGGGAAGAATTTGGTGCAGAGCAGAAGCTAGTCAGGATGAATGGCCAGATGAATTGTTAATTCTACATAATAATGCTAAATAAGTATCCCACATCAGTGACTACAATTATACCTGTTGTAGTGGGTTACCTTTAACTGTACTCTGATATGGAGTTAGAAGGCAATACACAAACCCAATAAACCATCTGCCTGTTTCTTGTTTTGATCAGCATGACACACACCAAGATATTTCACCTGTATTGCACTGGGGTTTAGCTTCTCTCCTTTCCTCTGGGTAAGATTTAAACAAAATAATGAAGCACTCCAAATTTTTGTAGATTTAAAACTATGCTGAACTGAAATAAAACATAGATCACTGCCTGGAGCCAAGTCTGTGTTCCAGAAATACCATTAGGACTGAACGCGTGCTTCCTAGCTAAAAAGGCAGAAAAGCAGATTCTCAGTTTTGCTAGAAGACTCTTGAATCCCAGCTCCCATTACCACCATCACATGAAAAGTGTGAGACTAAGACAAGAAATTACACTATTCTGTAAATAAAATCTAGAAGGAATAGACTACAAAATAGCCCAATCTCCTAGTTTATAAAACCTGTAAACAGTATGTAAATGATTGAGAAATAATGAATTCAAATAACAGGTGAACTGTAGACTCTGCATATTGTATTGGAATCTAAAATGTTTTTTGTAAATGAAGGAGACCAGCATTTTGCAATGTACTGTAATTTTCTTGTATACTGAAAGATTTAATCAGGCAATCCTTCTGTTTTTATTCTAATTTTAATATTAGACAATTGTAAACTATGATTATTTGCTTTATTTGTATAGTCCTCAATTTGGCACCTGGGTGATTTTCCCATAAATTAATTATCTAAAATGTTTAAAGGACCCAGGATGCAAAAAGTTATATCTATTCGATGAGCTCACTGCACAAAAATGAATCATTCAAATATTGCAAATCGGTACACGTCAATAGGCATTGATGTGGAGGATTCTATGTATTAGGAAATCTTTATTTCCAATAAAGCCACAGGCTTCAGTGTAAAATAAACACATCTGGAAAGACCTGAAAGTCTTTCATATTTATAAAGGGTATTTATAAAGCCCATATACAACTTCAAAAAATCTTTAATAACTTGGAATATGCAAATAATAGAAGCAATCTGTAAACAGCATATAGAATTAAAAAGAGTCTTGTTATATACTGTTCATGCCTTTTCAGTTTCTTACAGATAATGAAAATGAAAAATGGTGACAACTGAAGAAAAAGATGTACTGTACATTATGGTTAGTAGCTTTGAACTCCATCATAATATTAACAGTAAGAAATGTTTTAGGGTTATACTTTAAATATGCCATTTAGTTTGCTGTTATATATCAAAAAGTTATTAAAAACGTGAAGCCCTGTGGAACTTTAACAAACACCCTGTAGATTATCCATATCTTATGCTCTCCCCTTATAAGCTGATTGTCAAGAGGAGTCACTGGACAGAGACTGCAAACTTTCCTGTAATAAAAGGTTGGGACCAGGTTGGATCATGTCTGCTTAGAGACTTAAAATCAGCAGAACACTTGAAATTGATCTTTCAAGAATCTCCTTAATTTTGTTTTAACAGGACATGGCAGAATTGCTGCTGGGTGGTTTCTTTTTAATCACAGAATAGAATGACCTTTGCTGAACTGGGTCTCCTATTTGAGGTCAGAAGTTAGGTGACCTGGTCCCATGCCTACTGAAAGCCTATTGGCTCAGGTATGATGCTTTGTTTGTATCGCATCATCCCAAATCTTGAGAGAAAGTACTTGACCACTTCCAATATTCCCATACAAAAGGTGTCAAGTCAGCATTCTCTAGTGAGGGGAACGTGGGAGTCTTAGCTGGACAACAGTCCTGAACACTCTGGCCATGGCGAAGTGGTGGAATTATTTTATGTTTACAGTACAAATAACAGTAATCTGTTAAGAGGATACAATTCAAGCTGGTTCTACATATACACTGCAAAAGACTGGTACAAGTGTGAGCATGATCCAATGATAAATCTGGAGTTTTAATGTATGCAAATCAAAAATTATTCAAGTAGTTAAAAGCCTCCTGGCAGATGATCACACAACCGACAAAAGACAAACTCCAAACCAAAGTATAACCCACTGTACTCCAGAGTGCAAGATATTAAGATCGATAAAGTGGAATTCTGCTCCAATGACTGACACAATGGCTCTCTTCCCAGTGCAAACCAATTTACAATTGGTGCTATTGTCACACAGAACTGCGTTTACATTTCTGTCAATCACTAAAAACACACACAGAGTTGAAGACTGTGGACTGAGCTCTCACCCAGCAATGGAGATCCTGAAGACTAATTTTGTTGCATTAATTTGTAAGCTATTAAAAAATGTTGCCATGGACAAATACAAGTTCTTAAGTCATAACACAGGTGAGTGCCATTTAAAAGCTGAGGTTCCTATGGCTGGGAAGCCAAGTTGGCAGAGGAGGGCTACGTTAAAGTTAATCTGGTTTGGAGTTTGAACAACTAAAATTTGACTGTTAAATGTTCCCATGCAACTGTGAAAAATCCTATGACCCTCAACTGCTGAACAGGAAGTTATTCTCTACCTACCTAATGGAATCAGATTGTTGTGGCTGACTGCAGATCCACCGGCAATTACACTGCTCAGATCATATGCCGTTGGGACTCCTTAGAAAAGTAAAAAAGCAGAGTACCATACATTATATTGTTGCCCACCAGTGTGGAATTTAGTACAGATTACAAAATTTCAGTATTATATAGCTACGAACTCAGGACATGGAACCAGCAGCATCTCACTATTCCAGGAGAATGTGCTATTACTTCAAAAACGGGTGGTCTAGGACACTGAATGCACTTTGCTAAAAGTAAAGCACTAACTAAATTTTCCCTCTACTGGAATGCATCCTCCATTTGAAACATAGTCTATCGACAGAATGACTATAGGAGCAATAACTCTTTAAATGCTGACTTCTAAGCTAGACACTACTGCAGTCTCAAATATCAATGGGCAAAACTTTGCTGTAATAGGGAATCCAATGACAGCTACTTGTCCCTCAGCTCAAACAATTTACATTTTTGCAAACAAAAACGTTTTGGAAGTGAGTGCTGCTAAGGGTGCAGTGAGATACAGAGCACATCTGGGACTTGAGTGAACAAGTATCTCTCTAAGTTAGTCAAACTGAAGGATCAAGAAATAAACTAAAAATTGAGTAAGTGATTGAATGAATTCAACTTCAAATCAGGTACCAGCCATTTTTCTCAAACAATACAATGCTGTTTTCCTTCATATTATAATATTTCACAAGAATATCAAAGTGCAGGACAAAGAGCTTCGATAAAAAATGCCTTTTTTTGAGCAAAACCCAAGTTCTATACTACCAAAGAACTCTGAGAGACAGGAGGCAGATGAGAAATACAGTGCCATTAACCTCATTGTTATTTTGAGAGAAAAGTCTGGTGGAAGACCAAGCATTAAAAATATAAGTTTAATTGTAAGGAACAAATAAAATTATTCAGTTACCAGACCAGAGGATTGTGTTGGGCAGCAAGCTTTGTAAAATCTGAAGAAAGGTCAAGCAATAACTCAGTGGGATAGAAAAGCAAATCCCAAAATGTCAGCCAAAAACTTACATTTACACATTATAACATGGTGGAACATTATCAGGAAGGTGAATTCATGGAAAATGGCCAAGTTCTTAGAGTCTACAGTAGCAGACAGCGAACGTAGCACTAAGCAGAACGAGATCCCACCACCTTAGACATCTATTTATCACAATAGATGCCTTGAAAGACAAAGGCAGCAGATGCATTGGAGCAACGCTACCTGCGAGTTATCCTCCAAGTCAAAGACTATCCTGACTTGGAACTGTATCTCTGTTTCGTCTCTGTCATTGGGCCAAAATCTTGGAGCTCCCTTCCTAATAGAACTATTGGTTCATCTACACCACAGACTGCAACAGTTCAGTAAAGTGACTCACAACCACCTTCTCAACAGTGATTAGGGATGAGCAACAAATGCTGGCCTCACCAGTGATTTCTACATTCCGTGAAACAAAATACAAACACATAGCACAGACGAAAGAAAGAAAGAAAGAAAGAAAGAACGAACGAACGACCGAAAGAAAGAACGAACGAACGAC